AAAAAAAAAACTACATATGTATTGGCCTTTGACCATTTCACAATATTTCTAAAAGAAATTAAAAGCCATGTATGTATGGAAGTTAGAGAAATTTAAAATTTGGTCAATTTACTATGTATTGGAAAACTTTCTCATTTATTGAAGCATAATTAATGAATAAATTAATAAGAAAAATATAAATTTGACAAAGAAGGGTATAGTTGTCAAAAAAATAAATCAATTTATAGTGTGAACATGTATTTGAGCCATTATGGTCAAATTATGGCCAATTTTTTTGACCAAAAGGATTTTTCCTTAATTTAATATCATTAATTAATTACTACTACTAAAATTCGTTATTGATATAGTATAATTATATTACTTTTTATTACTACTGCTATCACTATTGGCTATTATCATTTTTGCACTATTAAAAATTGGCTATAGTCAACTATAAGAGAGACAAAATTTAATCGAAGAAGAATCGTCGATGAAAGTAATAAAACAAAGATAAAACATATCTTCAACTTATAAAAAATTTGATACTCCTAGATAGAACTTAGAGATCAAACTTAAAGTAAAAAAGATAACAGATAGCCTAGCCTTGTATTAGTTAGAAAAAAAAAACAAATATGTCATCAATTAAAAAGATTCATTTATATCATTCGTTAAAATTTAATTTATTTTTTTTAAAAAAAAAAAAAAACTTATTGATATCATTATGATATGATTCAGATAACTTTTTCATATGGAGCACGAACTTTTTTTTTTAAACGAAACACGTAGATTGGTCAGAAGTGAAGAAACAGGTGTCAGCAAGAGAAGAAGTCTGCCGTTTCGCCCACGAATGCACACAAAACTCCCTATGGCCGCACCAAACAAATTAAAGTCTTGTTTTACTTCTATCTATTATCACATTACTAAATTTTCCCAAATCTTTTCATGTTTACCAATATTTTTATGAAAGAGAATTGACCTGCTTCTGTTATCAATAGAGAATATGAAATAATTCTCATTTCTTTCCTTAATATAAAATAATTTGTCATTAAATTGTTCATAAGTATTCCTTGATTAATAAAATTTACAACGAATTTTATTAATTAATTATAAAATTTATCTATCGCTGATTTCTATTTGTCCAAAGTGACCACCGCTGGATTGAACCATTCAGGTTAGAGTACATATACTTAATTTAGTGGTGAAAAAAAAAAAAAAATCGCACCAAGTTTCTCTTTGGTGGTTTTCCTTTTCTCTCTCATTTAAAACCTCTATATAATATCTTTACAAAAATAAAATCTCCATATGTGCAAAATAGTGTTGAAACAACTTCTCAGAACAGGCCATAGTTGTTGTTGAAGTTTGGTATTTTTTTTTTGTCTGAATACATATTCTTAAAGATTCTTGTATATGATATGTGAGAGTGTTATTGCTATTGGAAATTAATTTTAGTAGTAATACTTTTTAAAGTTTGTTTGATTTGAAAGTAATTTTGTCCTACTTATTACTATTTGTTAAGAAGTACTATCAAAAACTAAGTAGAGTCACTTTCTTTAGAGATTTAGTACTATTAATATTTTTTTTGTTGGTTTGATATAGAATTTTATGTTGCAAAAACTAAGAGAGAAATAATCAAGAAGACATACTTCTTGTAACTTAGGTTAGCTTGCTTCCATCTGTCGTATTTTTTATGGATAGAGTTATTTGTTACTCGTGGTGGTGGTGGAAGATACCAGGTATGTTGTGGAATTAGTCGAGTTTTTAGTCCAAATAACTTATCTTGCTTCCTTCTGTTTTATTATCCTTAGTAGATAGAGTTACCTATTCGCTAGTCGTATGTATTCCATGGAATTAATTGAGTTTTTAGTCCAAATAACTTAGCTTCCTTCCTTCTGTTCTATCTTGGTAGATAGAGTTATTTGCTATCCTTCCTTGGTGGAAGGGTGCGGCCGTGCGGGTATCTCGTGAAATTAGTCAATTGATTCGAACACAAAAAAGATTAACTTAGCTTAATCAGGTACATTTTACCATTTCTCTCTAAGTTTTTATTTTTTTTGGTTTAGGCAGAGTGAGGCTTGCTAGCTAGTAAAAAGTTGTCAAGTCAAAATCAAGAATGAAAAGGGAGTTAAATGAGGTTTATTATGGTGTCAACAAAGAAGATGTGCATGGATTTGAGAATATTAATATGGTGCCTACTGATTTTGATCCTATGGATGATACAGATATTTGGCTAAATGGAAATTTCTCTAATGATTTTACTTCTCTTCAAGATTTTCCATGCATGTCGTCTTCATCATCAACTTCCAATTCCCTTCCTACTGAACAATCTGATCCATGTTCTAGTTGGGCTGTTCAAAAATCTGATGGTGATGAACAAAATTTCGACACAATTAGTGATCAAGAATGTCTAAATGTGATGGATTTAATTGACGGGGATCATGAATTTCTTGACCCTGTGATCTCTTTTTTCCATAGTGGAGAAAATCAACAACAAAAAGAGCAAGCAAATGATGAGCAAGTGTCTATTTTTCAAGGGGATAGTGAGCTTGCGCTTATGTTTTTGGAATGGTTAAAGCAAAACAAAGATAACATTTCTGCTGAAGACATGAGGAGTATTAAGCTTAAACGTTCGACAATTGAAAGCGCGTCGAAGCGATTGGGAAGTACTAAAGAAGGGAAAAAACAGTTGTTGAGGCTCATTCTTGATTGGGTTGAACAACATAGATTGCAAAAGAAACAAATGAGAGTAGAACAGAGTATCCAAAACTCTGCCCCTTTTAACTTTAATAATCCAAATGCTTGCTTATATAATGCCTCGTTCCCCGATTCGTCCCCTGTAATGACAGGGCCAATACAGGGGTACATTGGTGATCTGTATTCTAATGGATCTTTATTCGCGCCTCCTTATAATCAAACAATGAGTGGAAGTGCAACTTCTCGGTCTTGGTCTCCATCGCAATTTACAATGGCGACCGCTTCTCAATACAATCCATTTCCTGATAATGATAGTACTGATAATGTTGCTATACCTGATCAGCCTTTATTCAGTGCTCAATATGATCCGTACCAAGTTTTCGATGGGAACAGTGAGAGATTGGCAAGGTTGGGCACTTGTGCTACTAAAGAAGCTAGGAAGAACAGAATGGCTAGGCAGAGACGAGTACCGTTGCATCATTATCGCCATCAGACTCAGAATCAAAGACAAATTAGTAATGAGAAAAGTGTAATGATGGGTGGAAAGATTAATAATTGTGCAATGTCTCGAGCTAACAGTCTAGGAAATTGGGTATATTGGCCTTGTGCTGCTGCTGCTCCGCCAATCGCCATGGTTCCATTGGCTGATACTCCGCAAGCACTTCCTATGGAGAGGCCAGCGGTGCAATCACAAAAACATGGTTCGACAGACAAAAGACAGGTTGGTTTCATTAGTTTCGGCCAAAAAATATTTTTCGAGTTTAACTTATATACACTAACAGTAACTTGGAAGAAAATGAGTTGGGGATTTACAAGATCGGGAGTCGAACCTTCACTAACAAGGTGAGAGTTCAGGTAGTCGGTTCAACCTAATGGGCTATTAGGATCTCCATTCACATACTGTGTATATAAATTACAAATCACCCGCTATGGTAATTGTAAAGATCATTAATATATATGTGTTAAGACGCTTTAAATTTCGCGTGGATTTTCTTCGACAGGCTTGCAAAACAGAGAAGAATCTCAAATTTCTCCTGCAAAAAGTGCTGAAGCAAAGTGATGTTGGCAATCTAGGAAGAATTGTGTTACCAAAGGTACTTTAGTTATCGTTGTCATAAATTGTGATATATATTCCCATTTGGTAATTATAGTATGAATGATTAAATGGATAATTGAACATTTTGTTTATAAGTAGAAAGAAGCAGAAAGTCATCTCCCCCAACTTGAAACAAGAGATGGAATCTCAATTGCCATGGAAGACATTGGAACTTCTCGTGTTTGGAACATGAAATATAGGTACACTGACTCAAAATAATCAAGCTATCTTTTATTACATTTGCTCGATTCAATTGTTTTCCTTTAATTTATAGTCATCTTGCTTTTATAATTATTGGTTTTTATCGGCCTTTAGTTAAGGTGTGAATGTGAAATCGAGGGAAAAGAAAATTTTGAAAAAGGTTCCTTTTTTCCAAAAGTACTTTGTCCATCATTGAATAAGAAGAGGAAGATTATTGTGCTTATATATAGAAGTACTTCTTCTCGCTCTTAAATAGTTGCAAAGAAAGTCTTATCCTTGCGTCGTCATTGCTGCTCAGCTTCGGATTTGGTCAGATGACCTGATTTATTTCTGCATTATTTTTCTGAAGGGTAAATGCTCGAAACAGTATTTTCCGAACAGGCTTTCACAATTGGGACTTCTCACACCTATTGAGTCTCTTACTCGTATAAATTAAAGGCTTTGTTTCAGGTTTTTACACACCGAAAAAAATCTGGAAACTCCCATTGCATTTCTGCAAATTTCTACATCATTGATAACAATTTTGTGTGTTTTGTTTTCAGATTTTGGCCAAATAACAAAAGCAGGATGTACCTTCTCGAGAACACAGGTGTGAACACAATCGACCCAGCTCTTGCGTAGCATATTCATTAATATATAGTACTAAGTAATTTTTTATTGCATCTTTTTTCCCGATTCTTGAAGGTGATTTTGTCCTAGCTAATGGACTTCAAGAAGGTGATTTCATTGTAATATACGCCGACATAAAGTGTGGCAAATATGTAAGTCCATATATATATATATAGTGCTTTAGTTTTGTTATCACTTTAAGTGTGTAATTATCTTTGTCATTTGAGTTTAAACTGTCGAAATATATATATAACAGTTGATACGAGGAGTAAAAGTGAGGCCGAATGGAGCAAAATCAGACAGCACGCAGCCAGCAAAGAAAATCGTTCGTAAAATAGCTGCTGTTGATTCATCTCCATTTGCACAAGCTGTTCGATAGTCCAGGAAAAGAGAAATTAATCTCAAACAAGTGAGTTTGCTGTCATCCTTTTTACTTTTTCTTTTTACAAATTAGTACTTCATTTTGTTAAGTAGAATTATCTATAGATGACCCTGACTCATGCAAATGACATGTTTAAGGGGTTCGTAATTGTTAGCAAGGATACTGTCATATATATGTGTATGTTATAATCTGAATGTGTGGTATCATTTCCATGCTTATCAATGTAATGACCACCATCGATTGTCATTTAGTTTAAGTTGATATACATTGACCGTTCAAAAAAAAATTCGTGCTATCTGCGGAATTTGACTGATTATTGTCGCAACTTAGTACTCTTTTCATATTATAATATCAGGCTTGACAGCGTAAAAACTTTTTTACACTACCAAGTTATAATTGCTTTATTTGTTGTTTTATAGTTTTTTTAGTATCTACTAAAATAATTACTTTTCTTTATTATGGATAGAGATAACACATCAAATAAGATGTCTTGTTGAAAATATTTTGACAAAATTTCTCCCGGATTAATTTGGGCTAGTTATCAGCCCAGATTTTGATAGGTGGAAATGGGCTGAGCTAATAATTTGGCAGGTCAATAATCAGATTGTTTGTTTGGACTTTAGAGGGCATGATCCTTTGACTTTCCTTTACTCTTCATTCTATTAGATCGGATTAATGAGGTGCAAGCTCTCCTCAACACGGTTGAATTTACTAAATCCGGGAACTTAAACAAGGACACTGAATCGAAAATATTGTAATTACCATCATAATAAGTAAACATGCAGAAAATAGGAGGAAAAAAGGACTGGACATATATATATTTGAAGCAGAATTCATAGTATATTACATATATATTATAAGGATAACAATTACAACAATATCATGAAGCTCAACACCTATAACAAAAAAGCAACCTAAAGATTTGACTTGCGTATCTTTTGTCCTCCTTTATTTTAACAATCTTTCTGTTTCCGATAGCATGAGATATAACTTTGGTGAAATGGTATGTAGGATATGGACAAGAAAAAGAAGATGACCTCTCAGAGACTTCTCCAGAGATAATCGAATTATATCTCTAGTGGTGTCGGGAAAGGTTGAGCACGGGTACATTAAGACAAGTGGAATGGACAAACAAGTGCAAAATCAATGTAGTGTTTGAAGAACCTTATGTTCAAGAGCTAAGGCAGATTCAAGAATGTGCGCTCTTTGAAATATGAGTTCAGAATTTAATATTATACAACATTTTAGGATTTCTCACATATATATTAAAAGTTTTAAGCTGAATATGGTGGGTTAAATTGAACCCATCCTTAATATTATGTGTCCGCCCCTGCTCAAGAGGTGATTAGGGACGGACACAAACTAAGAGAGAAAGATAATCAGAGAAAATTGGCTATATTGCTGAATTCAATGGACAGGTAAAGATGATCTGATGGTGTGCATGGTTTGTATGTGTTGATGTGCTTGACATCAACATTAGTGTCAAGAAAGTGCACCAGCATTTGAGGTAATCATTCCGACCATGGAAGAGGACTTAGCAGCTAAGCTTGAGGCTCTTGCATAGCTGCCTGGAGCAGCACGTCCCGATGCAGTAAAGTATGCTCCATTCAACAAAAGGTCTCCCACTGATCTCCAGTTCCACTGTTTCCATGATCCTTCCCATGGTTCCACTCTTTTTGTCACCTGTTAACCCAAAATTCCATAAATTTCAATAATTTGTTGAGGTTAGGCTTTACCTTCCTTACTTGTACTGTATTGTGCCGTGCCTAAGTGGTTTAAAAATCAGCCTAGTTTTGAACTAACCTCTTTAGCAAAAGGGTTCACTGGGGCAAGGTATCTGTTACCCTGGCTGTTAATTGTAGGAGCAGCACTGCCACCAATGGCATACATCTCCCAGTGCGTGTAGTCATTGTTCACCACATGGAAATAACCATGCCTACATCTGCATATTAATTATGTCGTACTATTGTTAGTCCAAGAAGACATGGAAAAGATGAGAAAACAACTACGCCTCAATTCCAAGCAAGGTGAAATTCGTTATCTCAATCATTACCATTTATGTCACTAGTTTTGGGGGTTAAAAGTTAGGCGAAGATCAATTTCTTTACATAGTATCAGAGCATGGTCCATCTCCATTATTGCTTACCGATGTTGGGTTTATATAGTATCAGAGTAGGGTCCATCTCCATTATAATGTTGGGTACTCTTATAAAATTGGCCATGCTCTAGATGTTTAGCTTTGGGTGCGGTGTGGTGTTGCAGAGTTCCACATTGGATGAAAAATGAATGGGTAGTCTTTTAAAGTAACCTTGGGAAATCCTATCCTTGTCAACTAACTTTATGAATTGAGTTAGATCCAAGATCCATTTTTTTACAATAACAGAGTCTCATATTATTGCAAAGATCAGTAATTTACTAAATCAGATGAACTGGGGAAAAAAAGCCTACTCATATTTTCAGATTGATACCTTGGCATTCTCTGGATTAGGCCCTCACCAAAATGGTTGAAGGCAATAGTCACCTGCATAACCTTATCTCTTACATAGGAATCACTGTGCCCCAATAAAATCACCTACACATAAGTTGGATTAATGAATAATTAGTCTTTGAACTAAAGTATCAACACACAAGAATGCAGTTAAAAAAATATATATTCAGAAATGTCGTTTTAGTTGAAAATTGACCTCATTGTGATGGGTGAAGTAATTGTTTGAAATGGTAATTGCAGTTGAACCCATAATAGCATCAATGAGACCATCAGCACAATTAGAAAGAGAGTTGTGATCAACCCAAATATGGCTCGAACCAAAAATGGAAATGGCATCACCATCAGCCATAGTCCTCCAACCATAATGTGATGGTGAGCTTCTAACCATGGCATTACCAGTTGGTTTACAATCATGAATATGGAGACCATGAATGATAATATTAGTAACAAATTGGATAGTAATACAAGCCCCATTCGCGATATGCACGTTCACACCACGAGCATCGATTGTCTTGAAACTATTCATGATCAGTTCTTGCTTAAGTGTGATGTGCATATCACGTTTAAACACTATCCACAATGGTTCATCTTGAATTACAGCATGACGAAGTGTTCCAGGTCGGGGATTTACTGGGTCATCATCACCTGAGTCAGTTACAACATAAAACCTGCACATAGAGGCGGATTCAGGATTTTTAGAAAGCAATAGATCCCGCTCTAAATTTGCCTCTGAATATAAATACCTGCCATCTCGGCCACCAATGGCATTACGTCCAAATCCAATTGAACAGTCAGCTAAGCGTCTGCGATTACGTTGCCAATTGCGATCGCATCGCCAACAATCATCAATAGGATTTCCCGTCGTACATGAGAAGTAACCCAGTTTTCTCCTCTCTGTGCTATTCCTAATGCTCCTATACAACAATACAAGAAAGATAAGTGTTCAATTTTGTCGAACAATATTTACCAGGCACTCAGTCTCAGTGTAATAATTGATTGAGTGTAAGATATTCCCTCGGCTAATTCTACAAGATACATGTCATCTCTCACCAGCAACATGTACTAGGTAACTCTATCCACCAAAGTTAGGACAGATGGAAAAAAATCACCTAATGTTTTTTTGTTTCCGCTGAATTTTGAACCTAAAATCTAAAGGTTCTCAACCACTTCATTGACTACTAGGTCACATCCTTGGACACTAAATTTTATTCCAAATTATGTAAAAGACAAACAAAATCTCACATGTGACTACTTTGATGTATATAGTATAGTATTATATAATAATAAGACTTATTTGAGGGATCAAGTTGACCCACTCAAAAATGTCTTATAGGGAGAAGTTAAAAATGAATGTAGTGTGATAAAATAAATAAATAAACTGTAGATAAAAGGAATACGGTCAATACGGAAATAGTACTTCTATCAATCATTCCATGTAAAAATAATAATAATAATGTACTAATAATAAAAATATCTAAAATAAATGCACATGCAAAGGTGGGGAGATAAATGCATGATGTGTCGGTAGGAGAAACTATTTATTGATTAGGGAAAAGTCATTTAATATATGGTGATGGGCTTTGTCAGTACAGCCAGCTGCTGCATCCCTCAATTTGGAGCCCAGATCTCATATCTTCTTACTGCTCTACTAACTTCTTAAGGCCATTTGCCAGGCTGGGACAGGGGACAATGTTATGTGGCCTACGATAAGTGGGGCTGTAAATTGGCCAAGTTCATCGTCAAAAGATTATTGTACGGGGCTCCTCTTATGCACACATATGTTTCAAACAGATTGTATTACATAAATAATAAAAAAAGATATTCCACGTTCATGTAGAATCCTAAAATGGATCGTAACCTAGAGAAATATGATATAAGCAATTTATTATAACACAAGTATTAATGGTCGATACAATGATTCGAATTTATGATATTATGTACCATTGCTCCAAATTAAGCTCCTTTTGACATTTTCTAAACTAAACCAATAATAATTATGTTTCACAAATAAATTGAAATCGACTATAGTCAAATCTCTTTATACCTTTGACATTTTCTAAACTAAACCAATAATAATTATGTTTCACAAATAAATTGAAATCGACTATAGTCAAATCTCTTTATACCTTTGACATTTTCTAAACTAAACCAATAATAATTATGTTTCACAAATAAATTGAAATCGACTATAGTCAAATCTCTTTATACTAACAAGAAAAATTGGTTTCAAATTTTCTTTTGATCGTTATAGTGAAATATTGTTATAGATGATGATTGTTATAAAGCGATCATCTCACCGTCAATATTGTTCTGTCTAAGTAACATGAATATGGATAAGCAAACCCAAAATATATAGAACAAACATTATAATGTGCACCTTCATGTAAAGCCACCTTCAGCCTCTACGAGAGACATGGATACACATGAATGAAAAAGACTCGATAGATAATTTATAATGTGCCTATGATGATAAATCTCCCAACAGGAGCATGTGAAGACCAAGTAGATTAGGCAGGGGAATGCAAGTATGCAACTTTTAACTTATTCTAACATGGCCCTTTCTAATCAATGATGATTAACCCTAATCCAAAAAGGTACTTTGGAGTATGGACCAATATATTACTTACAACATTATCATATACTAGATTGGATACCCATAAGAGAAATAGACATTAGACCTGACTCAACTTCAAACTATAGTTCATAATATAATAATTGTCCAAAATCGTATAAAAAGATCAACTCATTCTTGAAGAGTCGATGTGGAACTCAGGTACTCAACAATGTCCATACTCAATTTTACAACACATAATAACTCCTCTGACACGAATCCTAGTCGTTAGGGACGGATTCACAGGATTGGTGAGTTGATTTAAGAATTGTTAATTAATGGCAGTACTTATAAAAGCTGCCGTAGATAGAGAGCCTGTGGCATTTGCATGTGCAATATGCCTCATAGGCAGTCTAATGATAATCAGAGTAACTTCTTTTGACTGTCAGCAGAAGATGAATTTGGAAAGGGAATCGCAGAAGAATGGAAGCAGAGGGAATTGTATTGGAACGGTTCGGTAGGTGGGATATTAAAGACAACTGCGGCATTGCTTTTAATTTTGTGGGTGATGTGTAGATCTTGTGGCTGACTAATCAGAAATTTTGGATAGACATACAAACGATTATTTTTTTTAATAGGGAGCATTTTCCTATTTAATAGATCCTAAAAAGGTAGATATAAACTTTTCACTACGGGTCAATTTTGAACCACATTTGTCATATGAAAAAAAATAGCTTAATTGATTAATCATATAAATTTTCACTTTATTATTTTGTAATTTCCGCTCCAATTTCTCGTTCCTCATCATCCTTACCCCCACCCAAAATAGGAGAAAAAAACTCCTTTATAAACTTAGCTCCTTCAATAAACCTTATGCATACGAATTTGAATTAGGTGGATCAAATTATCCGATAATTAAACTAGAAAGTAAATGTAGTCTTCTTACAACAGGTCAAAATTTGGATCCAATTTATCATGCTAACAAAAATCAGCAATTATATAAATTAGAAAAAGTATATATATATGATAAAAGAATATTACTTTTATTTACATAAAAAGTATAATTTTTCAATAAAGGAAATTAAGACGAAACTCCTTTATTGATATAGCATCGTCACTGGGTGTGGGTACTATTTGTCTCTCTATTCAACCTATATATGATTGGAATATCTTTTTTTCCCAAAAATACTTTTAGTTCGTACTTGTTTTTTACAAAAGAGTAGTGACGCAGTAAACATTCGACTCCCTTTAATTATAAATAACTAAATAAAGTCTCTTAATGGAGTAAAGCATTAACTGAAAACAGATTAACGCTAAAGGGAGGAAGGATAGTTGCGATATGAGGAATATTTTTTAATAATTAAATACTAAAGGCTCGATTGGGAACAAGTTATTTTGATAACTAATCTCGGATACGTTATACCACTTTTAACATTTTTATATGGGATTGCGAGAGACAGGATTAACTCACATATCCACCATGGAAGCAATGGCTTCTGGATCATCTACAGCATGTTCATGCCTGAGTTCATCGTTTCCACTTAACCTGCAAAACTTAAATCATGTAAAAATAATTAAAAAGGGAAAATTGGATCGCGATTACAGAGTTAAAAGAACAGATATTTCCAGATCCGATCAGTCAATCTTCTTTGATTCAATTGCAAAGTTAGTACATTACTCGAAGAAGTAAAAGTGATAAAGGCGGAAAACAAAATGAAGTTAACCTGTTCGCCATAGTCGAGTTACTTAAGCTCTGAAATTGCTCTGCTTCTTCAATACTGACGATGAAAAATTCAAAATCTAATGAGTAAAACAGAGTAAAAGTAGCTCCAAACAGAGTCGATAAGAATGGAGAACTTACTCCAGCACAGATCAAATGTCAAAGTTAACAAAGAGAAATAGAAGTATTTGTCACACCAACATATTTAAATTCCATAATCGAAAAACAGAATCAGTGATGGTAGCAATGGCGTAAATTCCAGAAAATCTGGTATTGAATTAACCTTATCGAAGCTCAAATATCAAAATTACCAAGAGGAATCTCATGAAATGAGTAATACAACTACTTAAATCGAATTAATCGAAAAAACAGGGATGATAAGAATGGCGCAATTCACAGAAAATCCGAAATTATACTAAACTACATCGCTGCTCAAATGCATAAATTAAACAAGAGGAATTTCATATTAATCGAACTAATTTGCTTCCACATTGTAGACAAAATTGCTACTGAAAACGTAATGACGCCTTAAATACCTGTTATCGGCAGAAGAATTGATGAATAGTACGATCACAATTAGCAATTGAAGAAAACACAAACACGATAATCTCAGAGCAGCAGCCATGGCGAAGTTATCTCTAGAATTCGCCAATTTTCTCTCTGTTTTGGGAAAAACAGAATGTGGCTAATTTATATTATGAAATGAATGAAAGCTTGAATGGAGGAAACGTTTTTATAGGGCTGCAAGTAAGAGACAGAGGTACCATTCATTAGTTGTCTAACTTTTGATATTGTTCATTATTGGAAAGATAGCCTAATAAAACTCAACTTTATTTATCAAAAAATATTTACATGTTCAATAAATTAGTAGTTAATATAGATTAAGTTTTATCCATTTGAGTATGCCGTCAATATCATTAGTCTTTTTAAGGTTTAATCACAAGAATATTTGCTTAAACCTTCTATAAACCTCTCACCCAATTAACGTTCAACTTAATTTCTCTTTAGATGTAACAAATTATATATTACTCAAGTATTTTGAGACAAATTTGATTTGTCAATCGGCTATTAACGGCATTAATGAGGTTAAGCTAGTACCTAATTACATTTATTCACTAACTATGTAAAGAAATATATCTACTTTTTATGATCGTAGTGTCCATGTCACCTTTCACGCATCTTGATTAATTTTACGGGATACATGTTACTTCCTATCAATAATACGTTTCATGTTACTCTATCCATCAAAGCTAGGGCAGTCATGCTTTACTTTTAAAGTACTATATAATATAAACAAATCCAACAAATAGACACAATTCTTCCCCATCAATCAACGGCAAAACTAAGTAGTGTTGAGCAGTTCAGCCTTTAATCTGAAAATTATACTTACAAATAAAGTAAAATATATGTATTTTTTATTGTATATGAGGTGTTGATTTTCCTTTGACATAAAAAAAATTCAAGTATAATGATAGAGGGGTTCGAAATGATTTTAGATAATGTAAAACTACTTTTACATAATTTCTATATATAAGTTAAAACTTTAAATTTGTGATTAACAATATATAGCTTTTAACTAATTGACTTAAGTCATTCATGAGTCGTTTTCTCACGTGTCAATGCGTCGGTCACTCACGTGCCGGACACTGCAAAATTTAAACAGTTTCCATTTCTCTCGCGAGTTTGTCTAACAAATTAAATTCCACCGCATTATCTGTGGGGCCTACCACGTCTTCCACCTCAGCTACTTATTTAACTCGAACCTCGATGCTATATAAGAATAATACTGAATAAAATATATTAGAAATGTAAATTAGTTATATTGTGATTAATTATGCTATATTATTTATACTAAGATTATTTTCTATTGTCTTACCTATGCTTATATTGTTATGCATGTATTAATAGCCAATATATTGCTAGTACTACAGTTTGTTATCTATTTAGTGTTCTATAATATTGAATAATATGTATAACTAATATCACAATTAATACATGTCATATATGTATGTGTGATAAAATAATTTATAGTCTCACAAATATTTATTATTTATTTTAGATGACAAATTTCAAAGCGTTTTTTTTTTTTTTAACCTTTGATGAAACTTTTTCTACAAGCCACATTTAATTTTTACCATGCTATAAAATCCCATAACATGAATTAATTAATGAGTTTTTATGATTGACGGTGGTAAAACATTTACATAATTATGTCACTTAAAAAGTAAATTCAAATGAGTTTTATGATTAATATCTTTGCTTGTGAATCTTCACAACAACAATAACAACATGCCTATACTTCAGTGTAATTACCCGGTGAAATCTGAAGAGAATAGAATATGTGTAGATCTTCACAAAGCTATCATAATATTTAGTATAATTCTATAGGTAGGTTGGCAATATGCTAGCGTAATTCCATAAGTAGGGTTTGAAGAGGATAAAACTTATTCAAACCTTATTCCTTCCTCATAAAGATAGAAAGGTTATTTCAGAAAGACCCTCAGATCAAGTAACCCAAACAAAGGGCTAAATATCAAAAAAGCAAAATTTATCAATATCTTAGAGACTAAGAGTGTTATATATTATCGTTAGCTTAAAATCCTAATTATTACCAAATGAATATGACTTTATTATATTTGCAGTCAAAGTTCAAGATTTCCTGCACCATTTGAATTATTATGCATATATGTACAATATTGTTAAAAGTTAAAGCTTGTAATACGTACGATGTGATCCATTATTGGGACAAAGGACTTAAAATCTTGTACTGTTTTATAGTACTAAAGACTGTTTATATAGTTACTCCAAATTAAGAAGATCGTTAGTTTTATTAATTAGTGTCCCACAACTGTAATTCTTGTAGCAAATATTGAATTTAAGAGTAATGATTTGCAGTATAATATGGTTCGGAACAACATGAAATGATTTGATAGCTAGAGTTGCAGAATTTAAACCAAAAGAGTTCATCGATTGCTATGTGTACGTAAAAAAGTTAATCTTGCAACTATAATACAATTTTTTGATAAAAAAGTTCGAATAAACCCTCGGACCTCTATATAGCCCCACATTTGTGGATAAGAATATGCATTTTTGAAAGTCATAGTTTTTTGAAAGTCACTAAGAAGCCAAAAATATTTTTCATTTATTTAAGAAGCACCAATTTTAGAGAGGTGAAGGATTCAGACAAGCTTTTGGGTTTTTATTAGTTTTAGAAACTTATTTTAGAAGTTGAAAAACTGTTGAATATCCTTAAAAGTACTTTTGTAAGCTTGATTGAATACAAACTGTTGTTTTAATATTGATAAAAGTATATTTTAAACTGATTAATCAAACACAAACTATTATTGATCTCCTGAAGTATCTTTTTAAAAAATATTTTTGACAAAAGAAATTACTTTTCAAACTAAGTGAAATTTAAAAGTTTGATCAAACAGTCTAGTTGTAATATGTTATATATTTTTATACTATGAATTAATGGAAATTCTAGATGTGAAAATCAAAGCTACATATGGATATTTATTGGCTTATGGAGTAATTTGCTGTCTATTAAATTTTACTAACAAAAAGTCAAGTACTTCTTTCAGATAAACTGCAAATATGTTCCAATATCAGACCTAAGTCAACATCATCTCTTTAATGAATTACTATTCCCTATTTGACTTTCCACTTTTTAATTGCCCACTAGTCAGACAATATGTATTGGGGGAATTATATTTTTTTTGTTTAAAAGAAATGATCTCCCATGATCCATAAGAAAAAAAAAATTCTATAAAAAAATTCGTGTGAGAAGAACCATATAAAGAATCTTTATAATTTTAGCTAGCTGGTTGTGATAGTTTGTAGTGGTCATCGAGGTAGACAAAATGTATAACAAGTATATAATTCGTGTATACACGAATTATTCATTGATTATACACTAATAGTGACTAAATTTCGTAAAAATAACAAAATACTAGTGTTTTTTCATTAAATTAAATTCCAAAGACATTGAATTCATTACCCCAACTAAATGTAGGAATGCAAACAAGTATATACATAATGGTTTATTCAATTGTACAGCTCAAGCTGTCTAGTGTAAAAGAAATGAATTATGATGATAAAACATTAAAATTCAAATTTAATCATGATGGAAAATTTCAGAAAAATGGACAATGATAATGATGTGTTTCTTGGTATCTATGATTTGCACTATAGTATGTCTATTATTTTGCCTTTTTTTTAGATAAAGATAAAGAATTATCCATAAATTGTCCCATTTAAAAACAAATGTAAAGCCCACATGGGGTTCCTTCCTTATAAAAATTATCTGGCATACAGTAATAATATAAATACATAGTTGCATGCAGAGGAATACAAACCACACATTAAATCCATGTTTCCTCGTGTCCTTCCTTTCTCCACAATTATGAATTATTATGTAAGTAATAAGTTAAGAAACAGCAAAGAAAGATTATTTTTTTAAAAAAGCAGGGTACGTGAATGGGAAATGGGGGAGGGGATTACAAAATGGAGAGTCGAACCCTTACCAACAAGGTGAATGTTCTGATAGTCAACTAACTGAACTACTCAGATTTATCACTTGCATTGTATCACCCCATCATACTCGATGCTTTCTGAACGATACAGGTTTTCTAACAGCTAAGATATCCAAGAGAAATGTCCTGATTCTGCATTAATTCAACAAGATATCTCTCCTAAATCAGTCTGCTGCGATCCTGTTTCTTATATTGATATTAAAAAGTACCAAAATTCAGAACCCTTTCAACTTCGTGATATGGATTCGTAATGGTCAATATAATCATCCAGAAACAATGGCTTTCAAGATGTGAAGTTTTCTCTTGCAGCTCAGCAATCAACAGTCTGAAATAAGAAAACAATTTGAGGGGAACAAATATCAGATCAGTATGTGTGTGTTTAGAATGAGGAAATGTTTTTCATGCTTGGTTGTGGTCATGGAAAATACTTATTGAAGATTGACGATAATTTCAGCAAATTGGATGGTGTCTTGATGAAATTTAGGAGTATTAAGTTCACAATGATCTTCGAGTTTTGGTTGGAGAAAGTGATATAGTGCAAGAGTTAAAGTATTTGCAAAGAAAAATGACTTTTGCCCAAAAAGGGGGAGTAGTCAAAATTTCCCTCTTGGTAGAAAATGTTTTTCGTAGAAAAGATTTTCCAATACCAAAAAATGTCTCGTGAAAAGTACTTTTTTGGTCATACCGACAACACATTACAATTTTAACTTTTAAAATTTAGACTCAAGCTGAGAAATATGTCAAGTTAGGAACTAGTCAACCTAAAATTACTAACAACCATACCTGCTAAACATCTTTGTATAGCAACTGAAACTTTGGTATTCTCTCTGGAGGAAGGGGACAAGTCACTATGAGCTTGCCTTTCATGGCCCCTCTAAATATTGCCTGCTTACAAACAGGGACGGTCGAGCAGTTAGAAATGACTCCACATTCATGACTTGTAAAAAAAATGAATCATCAGAACAAAGTATCTACTCAGCAGATTCAAAAAAATGCACCAAGAACTTTAGTATACTAGCTCCTGGATAAACAGCCAACTAGAACACAATCTTATGCACATCATAGATGCAAACTGAATGAACAATCAGGTATTCTATAAAATTATGAGCTAACTGAAAAGAGTCTAACCCTCTACCAAATCTATCTGAACCTAAACTCGTTCTCTAATTGTTTAAGTTGATACACAAAATAGTTGCTACACTCACAGGCAACTCTTAGCAAACTAGGAGATCTCC